AACATGGAGCATTACAGCCTCTACGATGAAGCAGGAGTGGAAATCCACATTACACACACATCTAATGGTTCAGTTGATTCATGCTCTGTTTATATTTGGTGGGAATGATCCTAATGGCTTTTGAAAACGGTGCTTGAGTTGTTTCAAATCAATAAGCGTTTACCACTGATGATTAATTCATCCCATTCACTTAATGAGAGTATTTAAAAAGCAATGAACTAAAGAGGCTCGGCACACAATCTACTTCAGACACACACACACACACACAAACACAAAATGGCTAAGTGTTATTTTCAGCCAGCCCCTCTCATTTTTTGTATTAATCTTTTTTTTCATTATTGTTAATGACTGATATCTCTCCGTCTTTCCGTCATTTGTGTAGTGACTCCATTATTTTGAGATATGAATGATTTTCTAAAATCTGAAACGGCATGTTAATGGCTGTCTGTGTTTAGCAATAGTACATTTAGTTTAGTTGTTTGTTTGTGTGTTTTTATATATGTTTTTATTCTCTAGGTATTCTCAGGTTTCTTCTTCTTTGCTGAGACTTATTAGTTATTTAGCTGTCTTTTTAGAAAGTAAATTGATGGATACTGTAGATGGATGGAAAGTTGGATAGATAGTTGGATTGAGGGAGAGATAGAGTAATAAATGATTGGACAAATGGATGGATGGAGGAAGGGAAGGATAGATGGATAGATGAAGGGAAAGATGGATGGAGAGATGGATTAGTGGATGAATGGATGGGTGAATAGAGGGATAGCTAGATGGATGAAGGGATGAATGGGTGGATAGAGATATGGATTAGATGATGGATAAAGGGATAAATAGATGGATGGAGGAATGGATGGGTAAATAGAGTGATAGATAGATGGATGGAAGGATAGAAGAATTGATGAATGGAAGGAGAGAGGAGGAAATGGATGGATTAGTGGATTGGATGGATGGATAGAGGGATAGATAGTTGGATGGAGGGATGGATGGGTGGGTGGATAGATGGATAGAGAGGTGGATGGATCGGTGGATATAAGGATAGATAGAGGGATGCATGGGTAGATAGATGAAGTGATGGATGGGGAGGTGGATTAGTGGATGGAGGGATTGATGGATGGAGGGATGGAGAGGTGGATAGATGAATGGATAGATGGATGGAGAGATAGATTAGAGGTTGAAGGGATGGGTGGATAGAGGGATAGATAGATGGATGAAGTGATGAATGGGTGGATAGGTGGATGGAGAGATGGGTTAGTGGATGGATGGTAAAAGGTAAAATAGATGGAGGAATGGATGGGTGGATGGATGGATGGAAGGATAGATAATGGAATATATGGATGGAGAGATGGTTTAGTGGACTGGATGGATAGAGGGATAGATAGATGTATGGAGGGATTGATGGATATAGGGATAAAGGGATAGATAAATAGATGGATGGATGGATGGATGGATGGATAGGTGGATAGATAAAGAGATAGATGGATGGAGAGATGGATAAGTGGATAGAGGGATACATTGATGGATGGGTGGATAGAGAGATAGATGGTTGAAGGGATGAATGGGTGGATGGAGAGATGGATTGGTGGATGGATGGATTAAGGGATAAAATGATTGATGGAGGAATGGATGGGTGGATAGAGGGATAAATAGATGGATGGATGGAAGGATAGATGAAAGAATAGATTGATGGAGAGATGGTTTAGTGCATAGATGGATGGATGGATGGATGGATGGATGGATGGATGGATGGGTGGATAGAGGGATGGATAGATGGTTGAAGGGATGAATTGGTGGATAGAGAGATGGATTAGTGGATGGATAGATGAATGGATGGATGGATAAAGGGATAAATAGATGGATGGAGGAATGGATGGGTGGATAGATAGATGGAGAGATGGATAAGCGGATTAGATGGATGGATAGAGGGATAGATGGATGGAGGGATAGATGGATAGAGAGGTGGATGGGTCGATGGATAGATAGATAGATAGATAGATAGATAGATAGATAGATAGATAGATAGATAGATAGATAGATAGATAGATAGATAGATGGATGGATGGATGGATGGATGGATGGATGGATGGATGGATGGATGGATGGATGGATGGATGGATGGATGGATGGATGAATGGATGGATGGATAGTATGGAAGGATGGATAGGTGGATATATGAAGGGATATATGGAGAGGTGGATTAGTGGATGGAGAGATGGATGGATGGAAGGATGAACAGATGGTTGGGTGAATAGATGGTGGAATAGATAGATGGATGGAGGAAGGGATTGGTGGTTAAAGGGATGGATGGATAGAGGAATAAATGAATGGAGGGATGGTGAAAACCTAATTTTATTGAAATTGATAATTGTATTTAGGTAATATGCAGCTCTCAGTAGAGTAAAATGGACACATGTTACTTTTACCAGTTTTACCAGTGTGTCATCTTATTTCAAAGTGTCAAGAGAAACTTTGGGGAGTTTTAGAAGCAATATTGTACTGCAGATGTGTGTTTGGTGTGTGTGAGTGTGTGAGTGTGTTTACTGCTCCAGCAGGTGAAAATGGAAAAGATGATGTGCGGAATCACAAACACACGCTTCTACAGGCACTGCTGGAGGATTAAAGCGGCGCTAATTAAACACCATTACTGCGGTAAACACAAGCAGACAGTGTATAAACGCAGACCTCACTCCAGCACGATCTGCTGCATTACTGTGCAGGAAAAGTCTCTGAATGAATGAGTGCTGAGTATTTCAGCAGGATTTCTCCTCGTTCTGTTCATTATAAACTCTTACTTGATCTTCATCTTTCCATCTGTGCTTTTCTGTTTTCTCCTGCTGTGAAGGGTCAGTCAGACACAAGAGGTCAACGTCTTTTACTGTGTTTAAAATAAAAAGAAAATCTTTAAGAAAGTGAAGAAAGAACATGTCCTTCATTTCTTACCTAATGTGTCACTTATGTTTGCTTTCATGTGTTTTTCTTAGGGAAATTCAGTTTTTCTGCACTTTTCTTAGTGTTTTCACTTTTATTTAAAGGTGTCGTCGTTTCTTAAGTCACTACTTTAGTATTAATATTTAATTACATGTATTTACTACACTCACCGGCCACTTTATTAGGTACACCATACTAGTACCGGGTTGGACCCCAGAACTGCCTTAATCCTTCATGGCAGAGATTCAACAAGCTACTGGAAATACTGCTCAGAGATTTTGCTCCAGATTGACATGATAGCATCACAGCTGCTGCAGATTTGTCGGCTCCACATCCATGATGCAAATCTTCCGTTCCACCACATCCCAAAGCTGCTCTATTGGATTGAGCTCTGGTGACTGTGGAGGCCATTTGAGTACAGTGAACTCATCGTCATGTTCAAGAAACCAGTCTGAGATGATTGAGCTTTATGACATAGTGTGTTATCCTGCTGGAAGTAGCCATCAGAAGATGGAGACACTGTGCTCATAAAGGGATGGACATGGTCAGCAACAATACTCAGGTAGGCTGTGGCATTGACACGATGCTCAGTTGGTACTAATGGATTCAAAGTGGGCCAAGAAAATAACAACCCACACCATTACACCACCAGCCTGAACCGCTGATACAAGGCAGGATGGATTTCATGTTGTTGATGCCAAATTCTAACCTGACCATATGAATGTGGCAGCAGAAATGGAGACTCATCAGACCAGGCAACGTTTCCTATTTGTCGGACCATTCTCTGTAAATCCTAGAGATGGTTGTGCGTGAAAATCCCAGTAGATCAGCAGTTTCTGAAATACTCAGAGCAGCCTGGCAACAATAACTATGCCATGTTCTAAGTCACTCTAATCACCTTTCTTCCCATTCTGATGCTCGATATGAATTGCAGCAGATCCTCTTGACCATGCCTACATGCCTACATGCATTGAGCTGCTGCCACGTGATTGGCTGATTAGAAATATGGGTTAGTGAGCAGTTGGACAGGTGTACCTAATAAAGTGGCCGGTGAGTGTATACATTTAAGGTTAGGGCATGTAATTATGCTTAATGTATTACAATTACTATATTATTATGAGTAACAAGGACACCTTTAAAAAGTGTTTCATCAATTTTTTTATATGAAGAAAGCGTAAACATCATTTCAACGTCATTTCAGTTTGTTCAGAAATGTATTGAAAGAAATAAAAATGGGAAAAATGTATGGTATTTAATTTGTTCACTGTTTCTGTTCTGTGCAGGTATGTTTGTATGCAGCACCATTGCACAAGGCTACTGTAAACTCTCTGTAGATCATCATATTTTTAACTTATACGATGGCGCAGTGGGTAGCACAATCACCTCACAGCAGGAAGGTCACTGGTTCGAGCCTCGGCTGGGACAGTTGGCATTTCTGTGTGGAGTTTGCATGTTCTCCCCGTATTGAGGTGGGGTGCTTCGGTTTCCCCCACAGTCCAAAGACATGCGGTACAGGTGAATTGGGTAAGCTAAATTGTCCATAGTGTATGAGTGTGACTGAGTGTGTACGGGTGTTTCCAAGTGATGGGTTGCAGCTAGAATGACATCCGCTGCGGAAAACATGCTCGAAAAGTTGGCGGTTCATTCCGCTGTGGCGACCCCTGATGAATAAAGGGACTAAGCTGAAAAGAAAATGAATGAATGCATGATTTTGAGGCCTGTGACTGTGTAGAGGTCAAAGTATATAGGCATGAGACATTGTAACTCTAATAAGGATGTAAGTGAAGATTAAACAGCGCTATTTTACATTTGATTATTCAATTTCGGTGCCTGAATGCAATAAAGTAAAATATTTCACATATTTCTTCCTAATACTAATCCAGAATAATCCCCATTGTCTTCCAGAATAATCCCAAATCGTTCCAAATAGAGTTATCTGGTGAAACTATTCATATCGCAATCAAAACAAAATATAGCAGTGTCGGTTTGTCCCAGAATCCTGCAGCCCTAATCAGGACTGTGTTGCTGTCTGTGTGGCTGCGCAGATGTTGGGGACGTCCAGCGGAGACCTGTGTATTGGAACGGAGTGGAATTTGAAACGTTTTGGCCAAAAATGTAGCCATGGCAAAGGGGTTTTTTGCAGAAACGTTTCAGATTTCGCTCCGTTCTCCGGCTTCGGAAAAAACCTGCTGCTGCCGAGAGGAAGACGAAGAGGAACACATCATCACTCATGTCGTTGATACTGTGTGTGTGTGTGTGTGAGAGAGAGGATTCTGTGTACTGAGGGTCCTGGTTTTACTTTACTTGAAAAATTGGTCAATGTTCTTGACATAGACTGAAGTATGAAGTGTTGATGTTTTGCTGGACTTCATGAGTTACAGAAGGGGTTTGATTAGTCTTTAGTGATTGGCTGATGTTTCTGTGAGGGCGGAGTTTAGGGTCATAGAAACTCTGATAGAAAAACAGTGCGAATCTATGCCATGTCCTCACTAAGATAGGAAAACAAATGTGTGTGTGTGTGCATGTGACCTGTGTGTATGTGTGTGTGTGTGTGTGTGTGTGTGTGTGTGTGTGTGTGTGTGTGTGTGTGTGTGTGTGTGTGTGTGTGTGTGTGTGTTTGTGTGTGTGTGTGTGTGATATGATGGCTTATTACCAGAGGAATGTCAGTGTGGGAAATCTGTGGATTGAATCTCTTCCGCTCCGCAGGGATTCAGCCAAAATAGGAGTTTACTCTTAACACACACACACACACACACACACACACACACACACACACACACACACACACACACTTCGGGTCTGTTCCTGATGATAATGATCATGCTCATTTCTGAGAGGAAAACAATATTGATCACTTGATACTGATAACTCTGTCAGTCCTGCTGGTGTGTGTAGAACATTCCCTCAGTAACCTCAGTGTGTGTGTGTGTGTGTGTGTGTGTTTCTCCTGCAGGTGCTGTGATGAAGAGCGAGTGATGAGGAATGTCCGTCTGTCTGCTGCTGGTCCTCTTCATTCTGACCACACACACGCAGGTCAAACAGCACAACACACACACAAGTCTACTTTACTATAGTCCCTGATTTTCCAGCCCAGGCTCATTATTGATACATACCCCTGTATACATTTCTGGAGAGCGCAAAACATGTCCCCGGAGCTACGCTTTTTTGCAGTTTTTGCTTTAGCAAATCCACCAGAGGCCGCTGTGTAAGTTTTTTCAATTTACTATTATCGCGTAAATCCACCATAGGCCGCTGTCGACTGACTGACTGATCGACCTATCCCACCACCCTCCTCCTTCCCTAAACCCAACCAATAGTATTTTCAAAAGCACCGATTGACCTGCCCACTGCCTTTCCTAAACCCAACTGGCAGTTTTAAAAAGCAATGCAGAAAAAAGACCCTCTCGATCGCCTGATTTATACCACGTTTTCAGATTTGACCACATTCTCACCCTGTAATTCACTTGATTATTTTATTTTTTGGCTTCTGTTTTTGTCTTACCTGCTTTCTGGAACAGTTCTTTGCTGGACTCGACTCCCTTAGTCGCAGTCGATTCCTCTCAAATCATCCCACGTACACGGCGAGCCACTGGACAAACTGATAACAGCAGGAAAGCTGTCCATATGGAGCTAAACTGCTATCGTGAAAAAGAACGGCATAACATCGCCCCCTAGCGTTCGTTTTGAAGATGAAATGCAGCCATGCATACCTCTGGCCACATAATTCGCTCTCTCCAGAAATGTATAAAAGGCTACGCTTTTTTTAAAATGAGCCTATGTTGGGTTTTCTCAGAAGTCACCACAGCAGAGTGAACCACCAATTACTCCGGCATACATTTTGTACGGCAACCCTCCACAGGGAAACACACAGCTCAACCATTATTACATGTTATTACAGTTGAAAATAACGGGCTTCTCATTCATTCATTCTTTCATTTTTTTTTCGGCTTAGTCCCTTTATTAATCTGGGGTCGTTACAGCAGAATGAACCGCCAACTTATTTAGCATATGTTTTACGCAGCGGATGCCCTTCCAGCTGCAACCCATCTCAGGGAAACACCCATATACTCTCATTCACACCTATACACTATGGACAATTTTTTAGCCTACCCAATTCCCCTGTAGCGCATGCTTTTGGACTGTGGGGGAAACTGGAGCACCCGGAGGAAACCCACGCGAATGCGGGGAGAGCATGCAAACTCCACACAGAAATGCCAACTGACCTAGCCGAGGCTCAAACCAGTGACCTTCTTGTTGTACAGGACTACCTTCTGCGCCACTCCGTCGCCCCTAATATTCTTATGTTATTCTTATTTTTGTTTGTTTTGTAATTTAATTGCGAACAACTGAGCTAAACCCTTCTCTAAACCCAACCAATAGTGTTTTCACTATGTGATTAGTGGTTAGTGTTTTGACACATAGCACCAAGGTGTTCACAGCGACCCAAGTTCAATTCCCAACTTGATTTTTTTTGACAATCTGTCCACTATCTCTGCTCCCCACACTTTACTGTCTGTAAAGTCTCCACTGTCCTATCCCGACAAAGGTGAAAACCACAAAAAAATAATTATAAAAAAAATTAAACTTAAGAAAGACCTGCGTCCTGTAAATGTCGACTTTGAACTGTACTCTTGTGTGTCCAGGTGTCTTCTGGGAAATCTCTGAAGCTGCTGCAGGAGCAATGGAGGATCTACACCAATGAGTGCATTCAGAGCTTTATTAGCACACCGCCGGCCGCAGGTCAGAACACACACACTTCTTACATGCTTTGTGTGTTTGTATATTTTGTATTTCTCACATTACGGGGACCAAATGTCTTCACAACTATAGCAGTATTAGTAAATTTTGTCCTTGGGGACATTTGTTTGGTCCCCTTGAAGACAACGGCTCATAAATCTGACAGAATGAAGTATTTTAAAAGTGTAAATATGCAGATTGGGTTGCTAATAAACAGAAATGACTAGAAAATGGCTGTATAAGAATCCCCCCCTACCAAAGAAAAGTGGAAAGTGACTGTAAAAGATATATTTGATATGGAGAAAATCACGTTTTCTCTTAGACACACTATAGATACATTTTTAGGTCAACTTAATTGTCTTATGTTCAAGCCACTTACATTTGTAAAAAGAATTAAGTAAACTTAATTGAATTGTGTTGGTACAACAAGGAGACATTGGGTAGAACCCTGCATTTTTACAGTGTATAACTGTACAAATGAGGTAACATGTTGGCTTGCTGTGGCCTCACAGCAAGAAGGTCACTGGTTCGAGTCCTAGGTGGGCCATTTACAGTTTCTGTGTGGAGTTTGCATGTTCTCCCCGTGTTGGCGTGGGTTTCCTCCGGTTGCTCTGATTTCCCCCACAGTCCAAACACATGCGCTATAGGGGAACTGATTAACTAAATTGACTGTAGTGTGTGGGTGTGTGTGAATAAGTGTGTATGGGTGTTTTCCAATACTGGGTTGCAGCTGGATAGGCATCCGCTGTGTAAAACATATGCTGGAATAGTTGGCGGTTCATTCCACTGTGGCGACCCCTGATGAATTAAGGGACTAAGCCAAGGGAGAGTTATTAAATGAACTGTGTGTGTGTGTGTGTGTGTGTGTGTGTGTGTGTGTGTGTGTGTACTGTTTTTTTTGTTTGGTTTAAAAGGACAGTTTTTGTATAATGACATGGGTATGACCTAGTTGTGCTCTGGTTTATGAGGACACCAGTTTTTTGTGAGGGTTGGGTTTAAGGGGGTGGCATATGGGCCCTATAATAAGTGTTTTTTACTGTATAAAATACATTATGCCTATGGAGAGTCCTTGTAAAACACTAATACCAATGTGTTTTTTGTGTGTGTTTCAGGTCTGGTGTGCAACCGTACGTTCGATCAGTATGTGTGCTGGCCTGATGGACTGCCGGGCACCACAGTTAACGTGTCCTGCCCCTGGTATCTACCCTGGTACAGTAAAGGTAGACCTCTGCAGCACAGACTGCATAGATCAGTGAATATACGGCTCACTCTGACAGTCATTTTTAGTCTTTGGAGTATGTTTTTTCAGAAATAAATGTCCTGTTTTGGGTGACACGGTGGCTCAGTGGTTTGCACAATTGCCTCACAGCAAGAAGGTTGCTGGTTCAAGTCTCGACTGAAACAGTTGGCATTTCTGTTTGGAGTTTGCATGTTCTCTCACAGTACTGGGTTGCAGCTGGAAGGACATCCGCTGTGTAAAACATGCTGGAATAGTTAGCGGTTCATTCCACTGTGGCGACCACTGATAAATAAGGCACTAAACTGAAGGAAAATGAATGAATGTCCTGTTTTCTTATATGAATGTAGACAATACATCTTGCCATTTTCTTTACAAACAGTAATCGGTTGTATTCATTATTACAGGACGGTGGTGTTACAGGACATCTGTAAGATAAAACTAATTTGACTGCACAAGATCCCAAAGAAAGTGTCATTTTAAAAGCAACATGTGTGTTTTTCTGAGGCGTCTTCTGTGGTCTGCTCATTTATGCAAGGTGCTGTATGAATATATGGTGTTTTTGACCAGAACTGTGTGTGCTATTCTGTGTGTATGTGTGTGTGTGTAGTTGATCATGGTCTGGTGTACCGCGTGTGTGGCGCTGACGGCAGATGGGTTCATGGGAAGAACACTAGTGAGTGTGAGCAGGACGACCCCGGACAGGTGACACACACTCCAGCTGAATGACTTGATGAGTCTCTAAATGATGATGCTAATGCTAACACTTTTCTCATGTGTGTGTGTGTGTGTGTGTGTGTGTGTGTGTGTGTGTCCAGAAGCAGTACGGTCAGATCCTCAGTAAGTTCAGAGCCATGTACACAGTGGGCTACTCTCTGTCTCTGGCTGCGCTCACTCTCGCTCTGGGAATATTGGTCAGCTTCAGGTAACTACCAGCCAACATCAACACTGTTGTCCAATGAGTTGCCTAATTAACCTAACTTGCCTAGTTAGCCTAATTAACCTGGATATTAATAATAGACTAATTTATTAATAGATTTGTCATTCACTTTACAAGCTTTGACCAGCCTCAACATTGAGTTTGGCTTTTTAAGGAAGAGCAACAGTGAATGGTGACTGTGACCGAGTGAACATTTAATCTCAGTTACGGTTTGATAATCCCTGGAAGCTTAAATGAAAGTGTGTGTGTGTGTGTGTGTGTGTGTTGTCAGAAAGCTGCACTGCATGAGGAACAACATCCACATGAACCTGTTCGGCTCCTTCATGGTTCGAGCGCTTTCAATCCTCATCAAAGACACGCTGCTGGACCAGATGAACAGAGCCCGCAGCGGACCCAGCCACTACCAGAGCACACGATGGCTGGACACACAGGTCAACACACACACACTAATGTCAACACAAACACACACAAGCTACTACAAGGGCACATGCTGGCTGGACATGCAGGTCAGCACACTCGCACACAAGCCACTACCAGAACACACACAGACTGGACACTCAGGTCAACACACACACAAGCTTAGCATTAGCATTAGCATCATCATTCAGAAGACTCATCAAGTCATTATCAAACACACTTAAGACACTTACACACACATCAACACTACATTGGATGATGAAGACCACAACTCACATGATTCCACCCTCAGTCACGCCATCATAAAATCACACCTTTGTTTGTTGCGAATACACACCCTCTAGTGGCCAAAATTACACATTGCGCCTTTAAATGAGTAATAAAAATGCTTTAATTTGTGTGTGTGTGTTTGTGTTTTGATGGTGTGTGTTCAGACGGTGGTGGGCTGTCGGTCAGCGATGGTGATGATGCAGTACAGTGTGATGGCCAATAACTGCTGGCTGCTGGTGGAGGGTCTGTATCTGCACAGTCTGCTGGTCACCACCGTCTTCTCCGAGAGGAACTACTTCTGCATTTACCTGTGCATCGGCTGGGGTGAGTGAGTGCTCAACACACACTCTATGCAGGGCCGGAGCAAGCTGAACTGCCGATCTAGGCAAAGGACGGGGGGGGGTATTTTGCCGCCCTAGACACAGATATAACTAAGGGCGCGGGTGGTGAGGGTAGTGTCGCGGACGCCGCCCTAGACGCGGATATAACTGAGGGCGCGGGTGGTGAGGGTAGTGTCGTGGACGCAGCCCTAGACGCGGATATAACTGAGGGCGCGGGTGGTGAGGGTAGTGTCGCGGATGCCGCCCTAGATGCGGATATAACTGAGGGCGCGGGTGGTGAGGGTAGTGTCGCGGACGCCGCCCTAGACACAGATATAACTGAGGGCGCGGGAGGTGAGGGTAGTGTCGTGGACGCCGCCCTAGATGCGGATATAACTGAGGGCGCGGGTGGTGAGGGTAGTGTCGCGGACGCTGCCCTAGACGCGGATATAACTGAGGGCGCAGGTGGTGAGGGTAGTGTCGCGGACGCCGCCCTAGACGCGGATATAACTGAGGGCGCGGGTGGTGAGGGTAGTGTCGCGGACGCCGCCCTAGACGCGGATATAACTGAGGGCGCAGGTGGTGAGGGTAAAGTCGCGGACGCTGCCCTAGACGCGGATATAACTGAGGGCGCGGGTGGTGAGGGTAGTGTCGGGGACGTCGCCCTCTCTATTCTGGCGCCCTAGACGCGGATATAACTGAGGGCGCGGGTGGTGAGGGTAGTGTCGCGGACGCCGCCCTAGACGCGGATATAACTGAGGGCGCGGGTGGTGAGGGTAGTGTCGCGGACGCTGTCCTAGACGCGGATATAACAGAGGGCGCGGGTGGTGAGGGTTGAGTCGGGAACGCCGCCCTCTGTATTCTGCCACTATAGGCAGCCGACTAGGTCGCCTCTGTAGACGCGCCGGCCCTGACTCTATGAAGCTGTTCAAACACAACACTACAATCATTCCAGTGTGCTACTTCTCCATTGTATACTTCTCTATCTACATGCTCGACAGACACGCATTACCCACAGACAGCAAGAGTGTTTGATGATGTCTCTTGTGTTGTTGCAGGTGCGCCGCTCATATTTGTGCTGCCGTGGATGACAGTCAAATACCTGTATGAAAATGAAGAGTACGTCTGCTTTAATTTCCTTTACACTCACACACACTAGTGAGCAGAGTTCCACTTAAAACTGTCATTGCATTTGATGCATTTGATGTTTTGTTGGTAATTAAAGTGTGTGAGGATACACTTAAGAAAAGACCAACTGACTGAATCAAAGGCTTTTTCTGCATCAAGACAGCTTGTGACAGAGTCATGGATATGACTGAAGATTTGGAGAGTTTGTCTAACATTGTCCTGTGTTTGACTACCACAAATAAATCTAGCTTGATCAGAATTAATTAAATCCGGGATTAGCTGTTTAAATCGTTTAGCTAGGACTGAGACAAAGAGTTTATAGTTTTATATTTAGTACCGAGATTGGTCTGCAAGATGCACATTCTTTATTTTTCCCTTCTTTTGGGATTACCGAAATAGTAGCTTCTCGCCATGAGGGCGGTAATTCTCCTGCATGTAAAACATGATTAAAACCCGGCAATAGAATAGAAACAAGTTGTTGTCTAAGCATCTTGTTCCATTTAGAGGAGAATCCGTCTGGACCTGGTGACTTGTTTGTTTTAAGCTTGGATATCACTTTGTTTCCTCCTCTGTTATAGCTGCGGATAGTTCAGCATTCCAGTTATTGCTAATTAACGGTAGATTTAGAGAAGTAAGAGTTTTCTCATGATCTGCTTTTTGTTTTTGGGTCTACAGTTTTTTATTCAATTCAATTCAGCTTTATTTGTATAGCGCTTTTACAATGTAGATTGTGTCAAAGCAGCTTCACATAAATGGTCGTAGTAAATTGGAACAGTGTAGATCAGTATTTAGTGTTTAAGTTCAGTTCAGTTTAGCTCAGTTCAGTGTGGTTTAATAGTCACTACTGAGAGTCCAAAAACTGAAGAGCAAATCCTTCGATAGGTAGCTCTACCGATCACAACCCATGCAAGCTAGAGGCGACAGCGGAGAGGGAAAAAAACTTCACCGAAAGGCGAGTGACGAAAAAAAAACTTGAGAGAAACCAGACTCAGTTCAGCATTTTAATTTCTCCGCTGGCCAAAAGTCTTGTGCAGAGCTGCAGTCTCAGCTGTGGAGGCTGGAAGCTGGCCTCAGCGAAGACTCGTCTGAATCAGGAGCTTCACTGGAGTCAGTCTCATGCTCTTCCCTCCTCCATGACAACCAGCGCAGCAGCAGCTCAGGATACGGCCTGGTCCAGGATTATGGAAACCTTGGGATCATCTCGTGGCTGGTCTTGGATGCAGTCAGTGACTCTGCATAGTCTGCGGGCCTCTGGATGAGTATCTCCAGGTGGAAATGGAAAATAAAGAGAATAATTAGCGTAGCTGCTGTTCATATTGTATATAAACTAGATGCAGAAACTTGTGTGGAAACTCGCTAAGTGATGCATTGAGTGTATGCTTAACTAAACAGATAGGTCTTTAATCTAGTTTTGAACTGAGAGAGTGTGTCTGAGCCTCGGACGTTATCAGGAAGGCTATTCCAGAGTTTAGGAGCCATAAAGGAGAAGGCTCGACCTCCTTTACTCGACTTTGCTATTCTAAGAAGCTCTGAGTTTTGAGATCTTAAAGAACAAGTTGGATTGTAGCGAGACAGAAGGTTGGTTAGATAAACAGGAGCTAGATTATTTAAAGCTTAATAGGTGAGAAGCAAATTGCATTGTTAGTTTACATAGTTTACAATAGTTTACAGAACAAACCAATGATTTGCCTAATTACCCTAATGTTAACCTAATTTATCTAGTTACGCCTATAAATGTCACTTTAAGCTGATTACTAGTATCTAGTCTAAAATTATTTACTGTCATCATGGCAAAGACAAAATAAATCAGTTATTAGAGATGAGTTATTAAAACTATTAAAATTAATTAATAACTATTAAAATTAATTAATGATTAAAAATGTGTTGAAAGCAATAGTCTCTCTGTTAAACAGAAATTGGGGAAATAAATATGCAGGGGGGCTGATAATTCTGTCTTCAACTGTGTAAAAATATATAGACAGCGATAGAGAGGAAGAGAGTGTAAATCCTGCAGTTTTGTCAGATGTGGAATAGGTTTGTGTGGGATCTGCACAGATATATGAGGATAAAAGCATCAGCCGGTGGGACTCTGAGCTCTTTATGAGCCCTTCACTCCACTGATCTCCCATAATGCTCCTGTTCTGACAGAAAAACTGATGAGACGAGTCATAAAGAGGCCCAGTGCTCTTAAATAATACA